TGTCAGGGAATATTTGGGTTCAAATATGTCTTACCTTAAGTGAACACATTTTTCTGGAAAATGCAGAAAGAAAAGCAAATTATAGTATACAAATTATATTCTTTGTTTATCACAAGACTTTAGATGCTCAGTAGACATAAAGCACAGCCTACCTGCAGTCTCTGTGGTCATCTCCATTGTACTTGCGATGGCTCTGCCTCCCCCGTCAGCCACTCTTGATTTGCTTTGAAAAATATCTGCAGAAAGATGGATGAATGCATGCATGTCTAAAAAGATATTTACTTTTACAAAACTGTGTTGAAAGGCAGAAAAATGTATTATTATTTGGTATAGTGAGTCATCTTATTTAAATCCACTAAGTATGGAATTCTACGTAATAATAAAATCCTTCAAATAACTCTCAAGGAAAACGTTTTGTTTTTAGAAAAATAAGACAATCCCAAAAAAAAATGTATGCCTGGCCTGCACCATTTCCATCAGCCTTTCTTTTCCCATGTGGTTGGAGCTGTGGAGAAATTCTCCCCTGCCACAGTGTATTTTCTGATACTACCACTGGGGAGCACCAAAGTGTAATACTTTTTAAAGTCTATGAAGTGAGCTTTAAAAATATATAAATTGCTGTGAGGGATTTTGTCTGGTCATCAGGGTCAGTGTCAGTGCTTCCAGCAGCCCAGAGGTTTCAAAAGTCCTCGAAACCCTGCGTATTAATTATAATTAAAGTAGTTGTTCAAAGTAAGACCTGCCTGTCAGGGCAATGACATTAATGTTTGCAATTGGATGCTTTCAGCTCAATAAATAGATGCAACATAAAACATACAAATAAATAGTAAAGCTGTATTTAGGTAAAGAGAATAAAATAGATTTCATTACCATGAAACAAAGTTTAATTATTTAAATATGATATCAAAACTGTTACAATCATGAGCACCAGCTGAGTGCTTTCCCAAAAAACAGAATTGACGAACATATCTGTTTGTAACTTTTATAAACAAATGTTGTTTTGGATACTTATTTTTATTTGCATATAGATGATGATAATGCAAAAAAAGGAAACTGTGCACCCAAAATATGTACAAAATGACTGAAATCCATAGCATATTAAACACATTTCTCATAAGGCGATAATAGTAAGGCTGGCCATGAAAAAATGTAAGATATCTGATCTTGTTAATCCCATGAAAGAAATGTGTTTGCAACACTTAAACTTAAACACAAAAAAGCCAATCAATAACTCTAAACTAACAAAAAAAATCTACAATTATACAATAAAACAGATTGCCAACCTTTCAAATGAATTTGATGCGTATAGTAAAAATGTACCTGTATTAGTATAAAAATATATTAGAGGTTAAACTTACACATGAGGATGACCAGCAGCACATATCCAACCATGATGAAGATGAATACTAAGAGTATTCAGATATCCTCCAGCAGCACCTGTCTGATTGAGACAGTCTCGTTTTGATAAACCTGCTTAAAACCACAGCCAGCTTCAGACTTGAATATAAGACAAGCCACAGAAACACTAACGGTATACTTGATATCGCTCACATGTTTTATATTTAGATCAGCAGAGTGGTGGCTTCCTGAGAAAACAGAAAGAACCTCTTTTATGGTTTTTGTATGTACAAGTCGAGTACGACCTTATTAAGAATTAGGACTAGGAGGCCATAAGAGTAAGTGAGAAAGAGACATGTGATAAATAAGTCATAGGTCCATTAGGTTTTTGGAAAGCCAGTAAACTGTATGTATTCCCTTGTTGTGAAGAGAAGTTATAACATAATATAATAAGATGAAAATGATGTGATTGCTGAATCAGCAGTATTGTATATGTGAACAAGATTGAACACATATTAAATGACCCATATACTATAAGTGACAGTGGGTGTCAAAGTATGTGACTGTCAGTGAAATGTTTTTGAGCGATGTTGTACGAAATAATCCAACATGTAGGCCTACTTCAGTTAGTAGCCTACTGTTACACTGTTTAACATTGCTTTGACAAAGCGACTGAATGTAGGTCAACTATTTCTACATTTAGATAAAAGTAGCCTACCTATACAGACCACCCCCGTCAGCATCAGGCACTATACACAGGGCCTGTGATCACTTTTTATACACTGTTTTTAATATGACAGTTAGGCTGTTGCAAGGCTGCACGGGTTTGATGAGAACTGTATCTACATTCGGTTTATAAGACTGGCCAGTGGCCACACAAGAAAGTCGAATCAACTACAAAAGGCTACACAAATACCCATATAGAAACCACATGTATCAGCTGCTTATGTTATTTAACAAGAAAATAAAACCGCATAGGCTACAACAAGATACTGAAGGGTTTGGTTTGTGCATCTAATGGCTGGATATTTTTAACCCATCACGTTATTTTGTATTTTTTTGAAGACATTTGGACCTTGTATGATACTTGGATGATTTCTCTAAAGTAGCCTAGATATTAAAAGGGACTTTCGCGAGTCAATCCAAATGCATGCCTCACTGAAGTGGAGGAATCATTTCGCCACGGTCCCTGCAGGCGTATCGTAAAAACCCTAATGAATCGCACCTGTTGCTGATGGGACTCACCTGGCCTCATTTCACCGGAAGTAGCTCAGCTGCATAAAGACGGAGACGTGCTGCACGGGTAGGTGTAGCATACTTTTAAAACTCACGTCACGCGCTGATTTTTATTGTCTTGATTTTCTTTTTTATTGAATCCTCAGTTATGCCTCCTAAAAAGCCAGCAGCAGGCTCTGCTGATCCTGCGCCTTCCTCCAGTGATGCACCGGACAACAAGAACGTTTCAGGTCTCCTCGTTTTTCATGTAACCTATGTGACACAGCTTAAGAAGATTGCATAAATGTTTATATTCTAAATGGTATATGTGTGCACGTTTGTTTTCTAGTCACTGCGACGCTGCGCAAACTTGCAACTCATCCATCCACCGCGATCATGGTGAAAGAAGCACTTAAAGAGTTGGACTCGCGCAAAGGGGTTTCGTCCCATGCAATACAAAGTTATATTAAAGAAAAATACCAGTCAGTGGACATGGTAAGGTTGAAGCACTTTGTCCGCAGAGCCCTGAAAAAAGGACTCGAGACTGGCACGTTGGTGCGGCCTGCCAACTCCAATGTCGCTGCAGGCCTATCGGGAAGATTTAGGGTAAGATGTCCAGTGTACAGTTTATCAAAGAAGGTGAAATAACGTCTTTTAATCGGGACTGTGTATGTGTCTTGAATGCAGATTGCAACGAAAACCAAAGAGGCAAAGCAAAAAGCTGAGAATGTGGATCCTAATGTGACAAAAGCAGCTAAGGATGGCGCCAAGAAGCCTAAAAAAGCAGGTATGAATACAACTGGAAAAGGACACACTCTTTGTCCTCTTAAAACTGGTAGGCTATAGCTCTTAAAACTGGTATAGCTCTTAATAGCTTAACTTGTTAAAGGTGCCACGAAGAAGAAGAAAGACTCTGCCAATGAAGAAGCGACGTCAAACGATGAGGTGAGGCAATGTTTTCTGTTCTGAAACAGAATATAAAGTTCAATTATATTTTTGGGAAATATCGTCTTTGTTCGCTGTTTTTTTTGTTTTTTTTCAAGAAAGGTAAAAACTTTTTATGAGACTTTATTCCTGATTGATGAGAATATAACTGTAAGGCAGTCATTTAGAGAAACTTTAAAAGGGTGGAAAAAAAGAATTGTCGTTTAACCTTTTCCATCATGGGTTCACTAAGCATGCATGTTCAGTAGAAATGTATAATTAACTGAACATATCCAAATTAAATAATTTCACCATGTATTCATAATTTATTGGATATAAGATTATACAATTAATGCTTCAGTTGTGTCTGACATTTTTCATTACCCACTTTTAGGAGTCCAAGCCTGCCAAAAGGTCCAAGAAGGAAAAAGAGGCTGCTATTGAGGTACCTGCTGAAACTACATCCAAGGCTGCTCCCGCAAAGAAGCCAAAAGCTAAAAAAGCTGCAGAGAAGGCGGATGACGAGGAAGCTTCTGATTCGACAAAGGCTACTAAAAAGCCCGCCAAGGAACCGAAGGCCCCCAAGGAACCGAAGGCCCCCAAGGAACCGAAGGCCCCCAAGGAACCGAAGGCCGCCAAGGAACCGAAGGCCACCAAGGAGAAAAAGGCAGGGAAGGTGTCTGAGGCTGCTAAGGCAGGCAGCAACGCTCCTGCTGCTAGGGCAACTGGGAAACGAGGAAAGAAGACTGCAGAGTAAATTATTAAATAATTGATGCGTTATACTGATTGTTTTTGCAATAAAATCTTATTTTTTGATTTGTTGTAATTTCTACATTTGAAGCATGCTGCCGTCTCATTTTGCGTATATTGGAGCTTTAAGTAGAACTGTTTGCTTCAAACGTATCCTTCAATGACAGCAGCACACAGGTGCTGAGCAGCAAAGTTATTTTACAATCCTGAATCCTGTAGTGACAAAGAGGAATTAATATTGCGCTTTAAAACTGGCAACAAAATCTACTCCAGGGACACTAAATATGTAATAGACTTTGCATGTTGCACCTAGAGACATGTGACCTTATAATGCTCAATAGCCTATAGTTTATTATATTCCTGAAAAGATGCCAAGGTAATGCTTAAGTTGATACGTTTTATTTGACTCTCTTTTCAGGGAGTGCAGAAAAAGTATTTTGGATAGTCTAAAATGGCATTCCAGTGCCTCAACAGCAAAGCAAAAACGACTACAAAAAGCATCATGAAAAGCGTCCGGCTGCATGTTCTCATCAAGGAGGTAATACAGTTGGCCACTGTGGACACACAGACCAAAATGGCTGCCATAACAGCCAGCAGCACATTGATTAATTTTCCAAGGACAGTCCGTGCTGTGACATTCTCCAAACCATCAAGCTGCCCCGCCTGCAGTTGCTGCTGCTCCACCTTGAGCAGATGAGTCAGGCAGGCCTCCAGAGATTCCTACAGGGGAGAGACCAAACTGAGTGAAGGAGCACTAATGATTAATCAAAGAAGTTGGACATACAGCACTGATTGTTTTATCAATGGATCCTTTCCATTCACTCTAATTTGTCTTGTGATAGCAAGGATGAAAATAACCTCAGTTACTTATTTTTACCTCATTTTTTTGTTTTTCAACACTGAGAAAGATTAGCTGTGGTAAAATGCTTAAACACTTTAATTTAGGAATATTGAACATTACAAATGTATATAAGTACTAAAGCCAAGTATTTACACAGTTACCCTCTCAAAACAGAGCCTCAAGATTCTGTAATTACGCCAAACCCAGAGAAATCTGTCAGTGGTGCATTTTCCTGAGCACATTTTAAACAACACTACCTGGCTTGCCTACGTTCCCCTCTGTAAACCATTGGTCCCAGCAGGAAAAGCACAGTATGTGTTATAAGCAATATGATACATTATTGATACTGGCTTATCGCAATGCAACACAGACATTATATTAATGACACCTGTGCTTTTCTTGCTATACATAAAAAATGTCTGCTGTGAAAAACACTTTTGTTTGTTAAGCTTACATGAATATCTGTTGCTTCTTTGTTAGACTGAAAGTTAGACCTCTCCCCCATGCTTGCTAGTTCATCTTTGAAGTTCAAAATTTCATTCTGGTGCAGTTCTATCAAGTCATTGAGCCGTTCCTCCAAACCATCATTCCTGCAAAAAAGTAATGGCAACAATATATGAAACAAACAGGGGATAGGTTTAGCTCACAGTACTATATCAAACATGTACCTGTGTCGCTCCTTTTGTAGGGCCTCCCCAATTGCAGTGTATTCTTTTTGGTGGCAGTTTTTTAAGATTTCAAAGCTTTCCTCAAGTTGGCCTTTGTTTTCCCGGAGCTCCTGGATCTCCTGGAGTATATTATCAAAGTCTGAGGCCTGGGCATGGTCAGGAATATTTTCCCTGGAGCTATAGGGTACATCATCGGCTCCTGAGTCTGAACAGCCATCAGCAGTGCCATGATTCAGGCTGGACTGTCCTGTTTTAAGGATACTCATTCCCCCAGGGCCAACACCCTCATCTCCCGGGGTTTCATCCAAGTGTTTCAGGGCTGCAATATTATCAGTGCTGCCCAACTTTTGCAGACATGGGAGGAGATTTGTCTCAGATTGGACAGCACAGCTTTATAAACTGGAGAGAATTTTTGTCACCTGCAATTGGCAAAATCAGATTAGTAAGCAACTCCTCAGGCCACTTAACCACTTTTCCTTTGTATGAGCATGCAAAAAGCCATATTGTCTTTTCATATTACAATAGCATAGTCAGATTTTTTCTATAAAGCTAGAATTTGATGAGACCCTGGTTTGAGTATGATCCTGACCCCTTAATCCAGTGAGTCCATCATAACTGGATTGTTGTTATTAAATAAAATATATTAACATGGGACTTTTTAACGCATTACAGCCTTTCAAACAATGCCTGTGTAGCAACACAAATAGTGGAACAAACACAATTAATGGTCTTTCAGGCACTAGAGTCCACGTACTGGCCTAAGGAATCATTTTTATCGGTATATATGCATCTGTAAAATGCCATTACTATCAGCTAAATTGAGATGGAGACAGATAATTAAAAGACAACCCAAAAAGAATTAGACTAACATCTGCATGGTTACATATAGGGCCAGAGGATAAGTTATTTGTTTTGTGGGTCAGCTGGGTTTAAATTAAGTTATATTGGTAATTGCTTACCTGCTTGAAACGTCAAGACTTCCAACCAGTCTGGCCAAATGTAACGTTAGCTTAGCTAGCTTAGCCAATTGGGATCAATCAGCTGTTTTGACTTGGCTGGTTTGAACATGCTCGGCATTCAGACTAACCATTGCGTGCAAAATGATCAAGTATGTAAAAGTTAGTTAAACAACTAAAAAAACAGTACGAATGTTTTTCAGATAAACTACTTTGTTAGCAGTTTAACTAACGTACGCTAACGTCCCGTCCACTGCTGACAGATGTGCAGGTTGCTTAGCAACGAAAAGTACTCGGAAAAATGTCGTCGTCTTATCAAAATGCTAATTTAAATCAATGTGGTACTGACACGCCTGACCCTACTATTGCGAAACATACCTTTTTAGTTTTTTCACTGTAAGCTTTGTAGCACCTGCCACTGCCAGCAAAATACTTGCTAATCTAGCCTGATGAAAAAGGGCCAAATTAAGAGTTAGCAGCTAAAATCTTCAATGTCGAAAGAGCACAAGTGATATTAAAAACCTTGATGGCTTAAGTTCTTTAAGTGGCCCAGTAGGCTATTTCAGTCTTCCAACACAAAACTCGGACCCCTTCTAAATATAGTGCAGACAACAGTTAAATAAAATGTAATACAACTTAGCTTTCACTGGTTTCATTATATGTCATATATTTTGAGCTTGGTTTTTAACCCTTTTCAACAAGTAAGACAGCAATAAATTGAGGATAATGTGTGAAATAAAGGGTGAAAGAAGTCAAATCACACCTCTTTGCTTTAGTGTGCTAGGAATTAAGGGTTCACAATGACCCATGATGAGACCCAGATTATAAAACCTGTATAAACATGATTACAGTACAGTATAATCCACACACATGGCAACCAAGTAAACCAAGGACTCCAACAAGAGGCTTTTTGAGGTGTAATGTGTGATGTTCAATTTAGAACGGTCATGACATTGAGGACATTTACAAGTTGAATTTTCAATTTCACCTTTAAAACAGCAAATTTATTTGTCTTTAAAAAATAAAAAAATCAACTAAAAAGTATTACTATTTCATTGTCACTAATATAAACAGTACGGAAGCACTGAGTCTTTGAGCACTTTAACTGCTCTTCAAGTATGTTAATTCAGTTCATAGATTATTCTTCTGCATTGGAAAAGCCACCAGGCTAGTATGCTCCAGCAAGGTCGCGACTCCAAACTTAATGTCTTTGATATTAACATCCTGGTTGTGGCATACCAGTGTTGTTGACTTCACAAATCCATAAAAAAACAAGTTGAGAATCCACTACTATTTGATCCAGTGACAAGTCTTGATTCCAGAGCAACGTAGCTGATGCAAACGAACTCCATTCTTCAGTGTAGCGAGCAGGAAAAGGAAGAGTTGGCCACACAAGCTGAAATTTCAAATGTTTGAGTAAAGGGGGAAGGAGGAGTCGACTGTTTAGAAGTGAGACACTTGGAAAAAGAGAGTATGGACAACTAAATCAGCAACAGTCAGCTCATTACAGTCAAAATCAAATAAAAAGCCATCAATCAGCTGTATTAAAAATTGCGGTGACTTCGAACAATACCACTTGAATCAGCTCAAAAGTAATAAAACTCTGAATTACAATTTCTTCTGTGGGGAAACAATGCAACGTTTTCCACATGTAAACAAATTCACTCAGATGAGAAAAAAAGTGTGCAGTTTTCCCAGACCCTCCTTCAACTATGCCCTATTCACCCTTACACTATGTGCTTGTGCCACAATTGCATTAAAGATAGCAATTCAATATCAAACATCCATCCTTTTCTCCTCTTATTCTCTGTTTCATTCTTCTTTAAACACATTTCAGAAAACGATAAAGTGACAAACCTCGGATTCAACCCTCCTGAGCATTTTGAGAAGCTGCTGAAGAGGAAGAAAAGGAAGGACTATAGAGATTAACCTTCCTGTATGGGTCATTGTCCTCCCTTTACACAACAGCCTCAAAACCTCTGTCCTTCATCATCAAATAAGCCTCTTCAAGCAGGTCATCTGGGGTGAAGAAGAAAGTGATTCAGATACTCTGAAATGGCATCCCAGTGCCTCCAGAGGAATGCAAGGAGGATAACGAGGAGCAGCGTAGAAAGCGTGCGGCTGCGTGTTTTCATTAATGGGACGACACAGTTAGCCACTGTGGACACAAACACCAAAAGGACTGCCATTACAGCCAGCAGTACATTGATTAGTTTTCCAAGAAGAGTCCGTGCTGTGGCGTTCTCCAAACCCTCAAGCTGCACCACCTGCTGTTGCTGCTGCTGCAGCTCCATCTTGGAGATACGCGTCTGACAGGCCTCCAGCGCCTCCTACAGGTCAGAGACAGAACAGTGAGTGAAGTTGCTCTGATGACAGAGCAGAATCATCAAGTATATGTTAGTGAAACTTACCTGAATGTCCCTCGCTCTTTCGTAAGACTGGTAAGCAATCTTCTCCTCCATGCTGGCTAGTTCCTGTTTTAAGTTCAGAATTTCATTCTGGTGGAGTTCTGTTAAGTCATTGAGCTGTTCTTCTAAACGTTCACACCTGCAAATGAGTGACAACAACAGCACATCAGAAACAGTTATTTTTCTTTCTACACACAGACTATACTAGAGTGTATCGCATAATCTATGATACCTGTATCGTTCCTCTTGCAGTGCCTCCATGATCATAGTGTAGTCGCGCTGATAATGGGCTTTTAAGTTTTCAAATGACTCCTCCAGTCGACCTTGGTTTTCTCGGAGCTCTTGGATCTCATGGAGTATAGCATCGAAGCCTGAGGCCTGAACATGATCAAGGGTGTTGCCCTTGGAGCTAGGGGGGCCTCCGGGGGCTCCAGTCGCACTGTTGGCTCCTGCAGAGCCAGAAGTAGCACTAGAACATTCATCGTCACTGCCATACTTTGGGCTGTTCTGCAAATGTCCTGTCCCAAGGACCCTTGTTCCCCCAGAGCCAACACCATCTTCTCCCTGGATTTCATCCAAGGAGTCTTTCAGGCCTGCAATGTTATCAGCACTGCCAAACTTGTTTCGGATGAGGGAGGCGATTTCTCTCGGCTTAGACACCACAGCTCCAGCTGCAGAATGAGTGGCTTGAGAGAAACTGGAGAGGCCCCCTGTCACCTGTAATGAGCAAGCTCAGGTCAGTACTGGTCTGTGCGGAGGTGCCATTGCAATATTGTCACGGTGAAAATTATGTGCCAAACCTTCTATAGCTTTTAATTAAGGGCTCTAACTACATCTCTAGAGGAACAGGTAATTACAAACTACTGAGTTTCCTTCTTGGGATATATTTAACATTTACAACCATTACTTTTGTGTTTGTGTAGATTAAGTAGCAAAAACAACTCCAAATGATGATCTTGTTATAAGGTCTTATTTATGTTTTGAGTGCCATAAACTAATTGCTATTTATTTCATACCTGGGAAAACCTATCCTTAACTAAAACAACTGAGGAACCAATTCAGATTGCTGCTCCTAGCAAGGCATCCACATGACTACCTAACTGCTATTAGAAATTGTTCTGACAGACATTTCACTTTGTGTGCCAGTAAAACCATGCAACACCATACTGGCACACTTATTCAAATAGAATTCATCCATTATGAATTCTCTATTCTACAACAACGACTCCATCTATTCTCTATAGCAAGTTGTCTGCTTTCTTGGCCCCTTTACGTTTAGTTAATCCAAATTTAGATGAACGATTTTATAGTTTTTTAGAAATAGAAAAAAAGTTGAGGATTACATTTTTTTTGTCAGTACAATGACAATAAAACCTTAAATATTCCCGAAAGGGGGATTTAAAAGCAAAAGAGCAGTGAAGGCACCAGGAAAGCACACACCTTGGCTCCAACATCTTTCAGCCCCTGGTGCATGTCTCGGAAAACATCTTTGGGCTGTCGAGGGATTCCGTTGTGCTCTACCTCTCGGAGCTTGCGGTGGTAATGCTCCAGTTTCCTTTGCAGCTGCTGGATCGTCTGAGCGGACTTTTGGTTCTTCTTCTCAAACACCTGTTTGATGCGTGCACTCTGCTGTTTGTCTGCGTTATTGGCAAGTTTCAGGTATTCTGCCACGTTGTCATCACGTGCAGTTTGTTCAATTTTGATTTGTTCTGTGAGTTTGAGGATCTTCTGTTGTAGTTGGGCAATGGCCTGCTTAGTCCGCTGGGGGTCTGGGGTGCAGTCCACTACATCATACCCGTCTGCCCCGTAAGGCAGGGCATTAGGTGACACAGCGGGGCCTGATCCATCATAACGATCCAGCTGTGCAGAAAAATAAACAAAAGAAGGTACAAATATGAAGAA